CCATGCTGGCTGGGGAATTTTGGGAGTTGAAGTCCACTCATCTTAAAGTGGCCAAGTTTGGACAACACTGCCATAGACTTTGGGTAGAAAAGGGGAAGAACACTTGCAGTAACCTTACTCTTGACCTTTCCCAGTCTGGTGCCTTTAACTCCAATATCCTTAGTTTATAGGATGTGTGCTAGGGTTACAGGAATAAAAATCCAATGCAATGATTGCCCATTCAGCTGAGTCCTGGCTCAGCCCTCCATGGTTTCTGGCTGAGTCCTACTCCCCAGTTTGGGGATGGCAGGAATTAAAATGTAACTTCCCTGGATATGTGAGCAACTTTGAGATTATGTAATTGTTGAGGAAGTCCATTCAGTGCTGATACACTCATGCAGATGTTTAATCTGTATAGTCTTGATAGTACACTGAAGGATAATACCTTTCCAAAACAGCAAAAATTCTTCCCTGCCTTTTTATGTGCAGATGATACCTAAAGGGGGAAATTTTTAAAAATGGCAATGTTTCAGCTTGAAGAGAACAATACATCAAACACTGATAAGTTTATGCCATGGACAGAACTGATACATTTTCTCTCTTTCAAAAATAATGTTAAATATGCCAGCTATAATATACATAAAAACTTTCAGATTCTGCTTTCATCTCGTTCAGAAAAGTATGCACGAGAGGGAACATGAACGTAAAACCTTGGCCCACATTACTGGTACCGCTATGAAAAAGCCCCTTGTCCTGCTCCCATTACTTCAGACGAAGCACACACAGAACAGGATGGACAAGGGGAATCTCAGCACAGGCTCAACCACAGGGGAAAATAATCTGCTGGAACAAACCAAGACCCTTCTTTGGCTTTCTTTAAAGTGTCACTTGAATGGTCTAAGGATCCAGCACTTGAAGAAGACTTCAGAACTACTCACCTCTCACCACATTGGAGGGGAGCTTCTGCCAGTTCAGCTTCTTCATCCTCAGTGTTGGCATCTTCACTCTTTTAGGGGAAGGTATAGCATAGCTAAGGGGGTTAACCCATGCCGGCACAATTTCCTCTGCATTGCCTTCTAGAGGTGGAGGAGGTGGGATGCCTGGCAGTGGTGGAGGAGGGGGTAGCCCTTCCATCCCAGGCAGTGGGGGAGGAGGAGGTGGCATACCCTGGAGTGGTGGTGGTGGTAGTACTCCTGCAGCACCAAGAAGAGGGGGAGGGGGAGGGATCCCTACCATGCCAGGCAGTGGGGGAGGGGGAGGGATCCCTGTCATGCCAGGCAGAG